AAAAAGTGAAGAGCAATCTGCAGAACAATGATTCACATGTAGCCACTTGCTGAGTTGTCAAGATTGTATTATTTCATGTTTTTGTTACTGATCTCTTGAAAGCAAACCGTTGGCAAGCAAGAAGACTTCATTGCCACTGGTAATGAAAGCACGCAACAGAAATACTGTATAACAAACAGACAATAGCTATCCCTAATTCAAAATTCCCATTATAAATGGCGAAAGCAAACAAAACTGAGTTTCAAACCACTCTACACTATACTAGAGAACTACAGTAGCTATAGTGGACTAGTATAATGGTAGAAGTCATTAGTTGTCAGCATTATTTCTAGACACAGTTCTTGCAGTATGGTCTGCCCAACTTGGCAAAGAAGCTCCCTCCCTCCAGAGGATTCCTGCAGCTCTGAGAGAGAGAAGAGGGAGAGGGGGAGAGGAAAAGATATTATTTGCATTGTCTTTGCTGTGCTTATAAGTGAGCATGATGCATATGAAAAGCTGGACAACTGGGCAGTTTAAACTTTGGAAAATCAGGCAACATACCTATGACACTCTCTGTTAACTCTGCAGTTAATTTGCTCCATAAAAACTCCCGGTGTTTGTGTGCTAGTGGCTAATACATAAGTGCACGGTGTCTCCCTACCACTAGTCTGCCATACCCACACCCACAGTCGCGAGAAACGCGAGGGTCTCTGGTGTCAAGCTTCACCACGATTGGTACCGATGACGTAATGCCTTCCTACACTTTTGACATCATTGTAGTCAGTAGCCATTGTGCTGATGAGGGGCGGAGTGTATCATGTGACATTTGGCAATCTGATTGGGTTGCAGAAAATCCTGGGGTTCAAATCGTGATCAAGCATGACGCTAGACCCTAGTGCTGCTCGTGCTCATGGCCTAGGCCAGAATACCCTACCCCTCTCTCATGGTGCAAGTGGGCGACTAGCTACCTCCCTCCCTCACGGTGCAAGTGGGCCAGACTACCTCCCTCCCTCTCTCACGGTGCAAGTGGGCCAGACTACCTCCCTCCCTCTCTCACGGTGCAAGTGAAGCAGTGGGAGTGCCACTGCTGGTCCAGAGCCTCCACCCACAGCTGATCTCCTCCAATCCTTGAGCCACACCCTCCACACGTGGCTCCGTATGACTCTCCATAGCAACCCCCACAGAAGAGCTCCCCTGCCTCCATGTTGAACCCTTCTCCTGACACACAGAGAGAGAGAGAGAGAGAGAGATGACACAATTCAACAGAACATGTAATCATGAACCATGTGGTAGCACATGTATCAGTACGTAGCAGCCAAATTGTAGTAAACAATAGCAGAGGAGGGTTGTGCACAATCAACGTTCCTGAGCCGTTTGTGGGTATGCGGTTATAATGTAATCAAGTATTGTAGCTGGCTGGTGTTCAGGCTGGCAAAAAACTTACTCTCCTCGATTGTGTATAAGCCCAAGCGTGCTCCTATGAAACAATAGGGCCCAGTGCAAGAATGCAATTACAGGTTTCTGTTTCTAGTAACAACTTTGCCCTTATAATAATACTGCAACATTCCGTTCACAATACTAGAACAACACACACACACATTGCACACACCCTGAGAGAGGTCGGTACGGCAACGAGAGCAAACAAAGTGTTCCTGATGCCAACTGAGGTCCTGGGCAGTGATACACGGCTGGAGGGAGGCAGAGAGGAGGCACAAGAACACAATGATACACAATACGACATGCCAAACCTATACCAATATTCAATTACGAGATTCCCCAACACCACTATTAATGGCTATTAATGAGCAGAGTTCCTGGGGTTTTGGAAAGTGCATTTTCCTACGATTTACATGGCAAATGCACTTTTGGCAACACTGACATGTATAATGATACAGTGATCAATAATTGCAGTGTCTTCATCAAATTCATGATATGGAATATGGTGGCAGCTACACCTGATCTCCCTAAACCCCAGGAGTGGCAAATTCATAATAATTATACTAGCTCCACAGACTTTATGTCCTCAGACATACCCCGACAATTGATTTGTGGCACGAGTGACAGGTCTTGGCAAACTTCTTGGCGTAGCAGTTCTCGCAGAAGATGCTCTCCTCCTCAAAGACAAACATGGTGTTCTGCAGCTGCTTCTGACAGCTCGTACACACAAAGTGCTCGGGGTGCCAGGACCTGCCCATGGCCGTCGCATATGGCCCTCTGCCGGCAGACGAGAGAGAGAGAGAGAGAGAGAGAGAGAGTATGGAGTTAATTATTACCGTAAACCTGAAAGCCTTAAAAGAGTGTGAGAGTGACATTTTTAATGTACTTTTGCACCGTGGAAGGTCTTCAACTGTGCTAGTCGACAATGTTATTGCTGGCTCCCAAGCCTTACACCTTTCAGCTTCCTATAGAGCTTCAATCCTAGAGCTTCAATTATACAAACTTATGTCCTCATGGTTTTCTAGAGGATGTATTACCCCTTCCCTTGTTCTATAGTCTTATTGAAAGCCTTCTAACAATAACTGCTTTCTCTCTCTTTCACTTTGTCCACTCATGAATTGGTCCTAACCTGATTGGTTGAGAGCAGGCAGCACACACTCCCTGTCTCTGAGTCAGTTTGGCTGCCACAGCTGGAGTCATCTGCTGATTACCCACTGGGGCTGGGAGAGACACACGTCAGGTAAAAGATCTATATTCACACTTTCGTTGCAACTGCAAGTAAGTCGTAATGTAGAATAAACTGTGTGTAGCTGAAGCCAACAGCTGGGAAATGGTGGGTACAGTACAAACGTCTCATACTGCATAGTTAGAATCTTACGCAAAGCATTTCGGTATACACATACAAGTACAGCGTCAAAGGGAAAGTGTCAGTGGGCTAAATTTAGAACTGTTACTAAAAACTGAACTTAATTGCACTCTTTCACTGCACCTTTGCTTTGTTCTATCTTTAGTAGCATTTCTAAATTTAGCACTTATATACTGCCAGATTCCCTGTAATAGGTCTGTTTCACTATTCTTCCATTCATATGTAATACTTTAATGCAAATGTACAGGTGGGAACTGGTGATCTTGGGGATGGAGAGGTGGAGGATGAAGGAGGGGCTGGTTTCGGAATGGGAGATGCCTTCGGGGGTGTGGTCACTTTCTATGTCACAGTGGGCGGATCTTCAGAAGTAGGTAAAAATGAGAGAGAAAAACAAAGGGAAAGTGTAAATATTCTAACACTTAACCAGCCATGGACACCATTCATGCACATTCTGCACACACCCAAACACTATCCTCACAGGGTAACTTGGTAAACTGGACTTTATAAAGTGTTTGTTCTTATAATTCTGTATTTATAGTAATTTTTCCAAGTTCTGAATTACTTGAGTCTTGTGACTGTTTCTCTTTCTCTGTGTATCTTGTGATCTTACCAAACCTGTTTTTACACCTCTTTTGTTTGGTTACTACCTGTGTTCTATTTATAGATGCTATGATATAATTATTACATTCACATGTCATGTGAAGTTGCGATTTGCGATTACAGCTACATATGAATGTCTGTAACTGTTAATTAATATTGCACACACACACAAACATCCACAGAGTCAAAACGAAGCGAGCCAACTTTTTGAAAACTAATGATCACAATTTGGTAGATGCATGAGTGCTCAAGCATAGTGTACTTACACAAGCAGATCTACTCTAGTAGTAGAAATAGAATACGGAGAAATACAATATAAAACGGAGACGTGCATACAAAAAACGGGCGCGGCGAATTCCGCGCGCCCCACCCACACTATTTTGCCGTTTTATTATTGTCTGGTTGACAGTGTGCTGCTATAGTTCCTGATCTCCCGTACCCAAGAACCGTGAGCTACCTTTATATATATATACCTCTGTCATTAGAAGTACGCCGGAGTAGACGTAGGGGGAGTCAGATCCCGCGGTGAATTCGTGCTAAGGGGAGCGCAAAGAAAGGGGCGTGGCCGTAGTGATGGCGACTGGGGCGGGCCCGGAGCCTGCCGACCAGGGCTCTCACGAACTGGGAGTAAAAGACTTGAACGTCGTTTTTGATGCTCTTGTTCCAGTTGCCGAGAAATACGAGTTTTTTGGCATACAAATAGGGGTGGAAATGGATGAAATAGAGAAAATCCAAATGCAGTACACTGATCCGAATCGATGTCTGCTAAGAATATTACGCATTCGCTTGAAGCAGATCCCGGCGCTCACGTGGAATGATATTGACAGAGCTCTCAGGTCGAGAAGTGTTGGTGAGAGTAGGTTAGCTAACGCTATAAAGAAAGACCTGCCCAGTCACGATTCTAGCTTAGGAACAGCGTTAGACCAAGAACAGCCGAGAAAGGGATCAGAAAAAGTTGAAAGAAAACCCAAATCTACAAAGAAAGAAAAGCATGTAAGGGAGGGTCAAACCCAGAAAGTAAGGAATGAACAAGAGCGAGATTCAGATGAGGAGGTAAGTGAATCTGAGACACTGTCAGAAACACTGAAAAGGACTCAACATAAAGTGAAAATAATAAAGAAGCATTCTGAACCAGAAAAAGATATGAAACAAGAAGGAAAACCCGCACATGAAGCAAAAAGTGAAAGTAAAGTCCAACAAAAAGGTAGGGAAAGAAGTAGTCAAATATGCAAAGAATTATCAGAGCAAAGAGCACAAAAAGAGGTGCCAGAAAAGTCTTCTGTTGCATCAAGTAGTGAAGAGGAAGTAGACAATTCTGAAACACACACAGAAGATTCCTCAGAACAAGAGCAAAATTCAGATGAGGAGGTAAGGGAAAAAGAATACCAGAAAACCTCAGAGCAAACCACAGGAGATGAATATGCCTCTGAGAGTGAAACAGAAGTGAAAAGCAAAACAATGAAAACCAAAGGGTCTCAAAGTGAATATGGAAGAAAGGAAAAGCAACAACAATGTGGCTTGGGTGAAAATGATTTGAAGCCATTATATGAAGCCCTATACAGTGTAAGAACAAAGTACAGATACCTTTGTTTACAGCTTGGGGTGGACTTGCCTACAATTCAAGGTATTGAAGCTGATCACAAAAATGACGATGACAGGCTGCTTGAAGTTTTGTTTGCTCGTTTAAATGGAGTACCACCGCTCACCTGGGGTGATGTTGTCACGGCACTTAGATCACAAACGGTAGGTGCTCATCGCCTAGCTGACAGCATTCAGGAAAGCTATATCCATCACTCTGGCGTCGATCGTGACCGAACCAGGCCTCAGGAGACTAAAATAAATATTTCCTCTGAGGAAAGACAACCGACAATGAGTAAGAAATGCTCAGAAGAGGTAGAAAGTAGTGAAAAGGCCAGTATAGATACAATGCACGAAAGAAGCATAAAGGAGGAATCTAGTGATTCAGAATCTGAGGAGGAATATCTAACTGCCCAATCAGAAGAATATGCTCACAGTCAAGAAGAATTTAGTAGCAAAGCCACTAATCAACCAACAACAGCTAAATCTGAATCTGTCAAATACTTAAAACAAAAAGAAGAAATGATTAACAAAGGACAGAAATCAGCTCCATTAAAAGGTAGGGTGTCACGTGGTCAATCAGAAATTGTTGTAAAGAAGCAACGCAAAGCATCACAAGTAAGACACACAGATACGTCTGTAGAGGGTGCAGCAGAAGCTAGTGATGAGGGGCAGCAAGATTCTGATCCAGAGGTAAGTGAAAAGGGCTGCGCCTCATAAACCCCAATTAGAATCTGAAGATGAGTCTTCTTCCGCCAGTACCAGTGAAGAGAGAAGTGAAGTCACAAGTCATGACTATGTTAGAAAACAGAAATACAATCAGAAAAGGCCTAAAGTCAATCCTGAGAGAGAAAAACAAGAATCCCAGAAAGTAAAGCACGACTCAGGGAAAAAAATCAAAGAGCATCTTTCCATCCCATTCTCTGATAAACAGTCTATAAGTGGTAAGAGTCCAAAGAACGACATACACAATGAAGGCCGTTCAGATTTAAGGGAAACAAAGCATCCAAAAATATACTCAGTAACTACTGAGTCTCCCCCTAACAGAGAACGAATTGAGATGGTGAAAAGTGTAAAAAGAAAAAGAAAAATGAAAACCGAAGCCAAAGGTCAGGGGAACAGAAAGTTTTTACAAAGTCAGAGGGTGCAAGAGAAATGCAGGTACCCCAAGTTATATTCACAAGAAGAGCAGGTTGAGAATGAGGAAGAAACGTTGCAAAAGAAAGCAACAGAGATTCCTTTGAAACAAGCCACACCATCTTCACCCAGCACCAAAGACAGCACTGAAGATGAAGAATGGGGTTCAGATGATGATAGGAGTGAGGATGAAGAAGACAGAGACTCAGAACAAAAGTCATCTAATGAAGAGGAGGAAACAGAACATGATGACGGGTCTTCTTCTGCCACCAGTGAAGAGGAAGTCAAGGAAACTGCAAGTGGAAAGTCAGGAGAAAGTGAGAGAGCATATTCTACAACAGAAGGAAAGGATATCACTAGAAAAAGGAAAACAAAAGGAAGCTAATGATGAATCAGATACTGGTTGTGGGGGTGGGGACCAAGGGCCAAAGAAAAGAGGAGTAATAAAAAAGCACAGAGAGAGGAGTAATAGTCCGACAGCCAGAGGTAGCTCACAAGAGGACAGTCTAGAACAACCAGGCTTTCAAGGGGAAGAGAAAGGTAAAGGGAAAAGGGAAAGGGGTTAGGATTAGTACAAAAGGGAGAAAGCTCAAGTTCCACTGAGACAGACGGCTCTTCACCTGAATACCATTACAACATCTCTGAGACTGAAAGTAAGGGTCTTAGAAAGGTTTTCAAGCGGTTCTCTGGCAGACTCTGCTATTTAATGAAAGAGCCAGTTGAACTAGCAACACATCTTCAGATAAAGAATCTCATACAATACTCAGTAATGATTGAGCTACTGACGTCTCCTGAATCAGAACAGGCAAAGGCTATAACTTTAGTTAGAGATCTTCACAAACAGATGAAGTCACATCCCGCCAAATTATTCAGTATAGTTGAGGTGTTTCTGCAGAATGCAGCCCTGAAAGAACCCGGCAAGGAAATGTTGCAGGAAATAGGTAAGTACTGTGATTTTTTTACTGTTGCTACTCTATCATGCTATGCCTTCTTTACATCTGTAGGAAAGGTTTGTCCTGAGAGAGCAGCCTTTGTGCTTGGCAGTGAACAACCTCCTTCTGATAGCCAGGTTGAAATTCCCGGTGAGTTAAATTTTCCCTATCGCATATCCAATTTATAAGCTTCTTATCTACAGGGAGTGAAAGTAAGAGACAGTCACTGGCAGAAAACTCAACTGAGTGGATTAATTCTTCTGCGGAGTTAAGAGCTCTTCGGAGAAGCAATGTGATATTTACTAGAGGTTTAGACCCGGAGAATCTTGTACGTGTTCTTTACACCAAAGGGCTGCTCACCCCAGAGGAAAGGGACAATGCAACAAAACAGACCTCTACCACTTGCCAGAGGCTTGACGAAATTTTTAAAGCATGGAGAGGCGGGTTCGGTCGACCCTCAACGTTTTAAAACTCTCTTGCTGGCTCTCAGTGAAGAACCAGCAACTGAAGATGTCGCTAAAAAAATGAAAGGTAAATATCTTTTTCTGTAAGGGTGCAACATTGTACCTGTACCTTTACAGGATAAACCATTATTAGTCGTGGTTTTTTGTAGAGTTCTATAATGATGAATGCAGTGAACAACCTCCTTCTGATAGCCAGGTGGGGATTCCTGGTGAGTTAATATTTCCCTATCACATATCCAATTTATAAGCTACTTACCTACAGGGAGTGAAAGCAAGACAAAGATTCATACAGAAATAAGTGGCACACCTTTATCCAGCAATCCTAGTCCTGCATCTTCATTTCAGACTGGAAATGAAGGGGCGGCAAAGGTATTTCGAAACATGCGGCTATTTCAAGTGTAGCTGATGGCATATCACCATCTCAGGAAGTAAGTCAATCTGCACCACCACTCTAGGTGTAAGTCCAGTGTTGGCAAAGTATAAACAGTATCTGCAGGCTTGTTACAATGCTAGAGTCCTAGCTCCAGCAGACAAGTACCTTCCCACCCTAGAGACTCCCTACATTAATCTTGCCATGATTAGAAGGGAACGCTACGATCATGAGGAAAGAGATGAGTTTTACCAGAAGAACACTGCATGGAGGAGTAGAACCAGATTCTTGAAAACAACATCACCATTAAAATTGAAGATTTGTTGGCCTTTGAAGGCACAGACGAAGAACCATATAGGGAAGAGCTAAGAAAGCTGTGCCTTCATGGAACTGACTCCTTACTGCTGTCTGAATATCTTAGGTCCTAGGAGTCGAAGTGTAGTAGCGAGGCAACTCGAGCTGATAAGACGCGAGTGGGCAGGTTCATTCGGTAGAAGGTCCTCCGGGAATTGGTAAGAGTACCTTTGCCTGGGAGCCTGTAGGAGATGGATGAGATAGAAAGCATCAGAGACTACCACACTGTGGTGCTGCTCACGTGCAGGACAAGCTGGGTCGTAAATGCAGCATCGACTTCGTATCTCTTGTAGAGACCCTTTTAATACTACGCTGACTTCAGTGAGTAATAGTATTGCTGAGAACTGGTTTTATGACTCACAGGGTGTAAACCTGTGGCTCGTTTGTAGTATGGTTTTGATGAAGTCTCTCACCGTTTCATTAGACTCTGTCATGAAAAGGCTGTCTAGCCAGGCAACCCCGCTTGCCAGAATGTACCATCATTCTCACTACTAGACCGGTGGCCACGTCCGCACTAGAAAGTAGTCTCGGCCAGCTCGAGTGATAAGCACGTAGAATTTTGGTTCACCAGAGGAGGAGAGGCGAGTGAGGTATCTCACTGACGTCTTAGCGAGGAACCAGAGCTCTGCGAATCTCTGAAGTAACATGGTTTCTTTTGTCCCTCACATAACAGTCAATGATGTACATTCCACTCAACTGTGCCATTATGCACAAGTCATTACGAGTCTCAGAGTACCGCCACCTCGCTATACCAAGAACAAGAACACAGCTGTACAAGGCACTCACTCATTCTCTTCTTGTTAACACATGAGGATGAAGGAAAGTAATTGTGAGTATACATCATGCTTCCTGAATGTCTTAACAAAGAATATATGGACAAGTTTAGGTTTTGGCTAAATTTGCTTTTGAAGCTATCACAAAGTTAGGTCAAGAAAGGTAACGTTCTCAAAGAGGATATCCCTGAGGGATTAGTTCATTTGGGGTTCATGAATGAATCTACTGAAATGTATGCCAGCAAAGGAGTGGATCGAACATTCTCATTTCTCCACCTCAGCCTACAGGAATACCTGGCAGCTTGGCACCTGGCTAATAGCTACAGCATTGAGTTTCAGGTGGCTTATCATAGGCTGGCTACCCAAGATTTTTCATATGGGCAAAGGAATATTTTATTGGGCAAAGTATGTGATGAAGGAAATTATTACGAAGGTGATAACCAGGAGGAAGAAGCTCTCTTATCATCACTGAAGAAACAGAGGTCGCCACTAGAGGAGCCAGCCATATTTCTGGCTGGTATCACTGGCTGGAGATGCCAGTCAGAGGATGGCAGGAACCACTGGGAAATGTATCTCAGTCATGACATGCACGTGTTCTGATTTCGTCCAATGTCTTGCTACGCTCTCTCTATGAGGCTCAAAACCCAACCATCTTACCTCTATATTATTATGCTAGCGATTCTAGGAGAAAAATTTCCATTGGCTCAAGAAATATGTTTGGTGGTAAAAATTCTAAAGCACCATATAATTGCTATGCCATATCTTTCTGTCTGGCAAATTCCTCAG